CTCTGCTCTATATATTACAAGCTAACATGACTAGCTAATGTCACACTGTGTGAACTAAAATACTTGTTGTATTACTACATCATACATGCTTGGTCCAAATCACTGCTAAAATGAATTATTTTTGAAAATGTATAGTAAATAAACACTCAGCCATGCATGAAATAACATAGCAAAAGAATACGGGCAATGTTTGACCCATGTTGTCCCTTAGAAGTGTAGTGATACAAACATGATTTTTATTCAAAAAGTAAGAAAGTAAAAATTAGAATCAACCAAGCATATCTTCCCCCTCGAAATCCCAGTTGTACTTCGCTAACATGGACTAGGTCATGTTAGACAAGCAATCCAGTGGTTAGTTTTAGGGTAAGCTCCATTGTTTTTTTTGTTTTTTATTCACTTTAAGAGAAAGGGATTTCAGAAACAAGTATCACAAGTTTGGCTCGAGGTAAAATTAACAAAAGCTAACTGTTGTTAGACTATGTTCCCCCCTTCTAAACTTATGAAATAATCAATGCCCTTGGGATGCTCTCAATTGTGTGTGTGTGTGTGTGTGTGTGTGTGTGTGTGTGTGTGTGTGTGTGTGTGTGTGTGTGTGTGTGTGTGTGTGTGTGTGTGTGGTCCATCATACAAGATTTAGGGGATCTATTGGCAGCTGCTGATAATAACATCCATCATTATGGTTTACTAATAGTTATCACTTCACTTCCTCCTCCAGCACCTGGACACAGCAGGAACCTACGCCAGGATCCTGTTTGTGGACTTCAGCTCTGCCTTCAACACCATCATCCCAGCTCTGCTGCAGGACAAGCTCTCCCAGCTGCAGGTGGATCACAGACTTCCTGTCTGACAGGAAGCAGCACGTGAGGCTGGGGAAACACGTCTCTGACCATCAGCACCGGTACCCCTCAAGGCTGCGTTCTTTCCCCTCTGCTCTTCTCCCTGTACACCAACAGCTGCACCTCCAGTCATCAGTCTGTCAAGCTCCTGAAGTTCAGACGACACCACGCTCATCGGACTCATCTCTGGTGGGGACGAGTCTGCCTACAGGTGGGAGATGGACCATCTGGTGACCTGGTGTGGGGAAAACCACCTGGAGCTCAACGCTCTCAAGACAGTGGAGATGGTTGTGGACTTTAGGAAGAACGCAGCCCCGCCCGCCCCCATCACTCTGTGTGGCTCACCATCACTCTGTGTGACTCCCCATCACTCTGTATGACTCCCCATCACTCTGTGTGACTCCCCAGTCACTGCTGTGGAGTCTTTCCGCTTCCTGGGCACCATCATCGCCCAGGACCTCAAATGGGAGCAGAACAGCAGCTCCCTCATCAAAAAAGCCCAGCAGAGGATGTTCTTCCTGAGGCAGCTGAAGAAATTCAACCTGCCAAAGACGATGATGGTGAACTTCTACACCTCCATCATGGAGTCCATCCTCACCTCCTCCATCAGCATCTGGTACGCTGCAGCCACAGCCAAGGATAAGGGCAGGCTGCAGCGTGTCATCTGCTCTGCAGAGAAGGTGATAGGCTGCAATCTGCCATCCCTCCACGACCTGCATGCCTCCAGGACCCTGAGGCGGGCAGGAAAGATAGTGGCCGATCCCTCCCACCCTGGACACAAACTGTTCACCCCCCTCCCCTCTGGCAGGAGGCTGCGCTCCATCAGGACCAAAACCTCTCTCCATCAGGACCAAAACCTCTCTCCATCAGGACCAGAACCTCTCTCCATCAGGACCAGAACCTCTCTCCATCAGGACCAGAACCTCTCCATCAGGACCAAAACCTCTCTCCATCAGGACCAGAACCTCTCTCCATCAGGACCAAAACCTCTCTCCATCAGGACCAAAACCTCTCTCCATCAGGACCAGAACCTCTCTCCATCAGGATCAAAACCTCTCTCCATCAGGACCAAAACCTCTCTCCATCAGGATCAGAACCTCTCTCCATCAGGACCAGAACCTCTCTCCATCAGGACCAGAACCTCTCTCCATCAGGACCAAAACCTCTCTCCATCAGGACCAGAACCTCTCTCCATCAGGACCAAAACCTCTCTCCACCAGGACCAGAACCTCTCCCCATCAGGACCAAAACCTCTCTCCATCAGGACCAGAACCTCTCTCCATCAGGACCAGAACCTCTCTCCATCAGGACCTCAACAAGGCCCCCCCACTGACACTTAACCTCATCCACAACGCAGACTCTATGCATTACATAATGGAGATCACAGGATGGTAAATAATGCAATGTTTAAATATTGCTTACTGCACATATTTTATATTCTATAATTTATTGCATTCTATTTCGATGTATATTACTGCTTTATTTTATTGATATCTTACTATATTTTTATTACAGTGTTCTTAATATAGTTCGCTATCTGTGTACTTTTTTTTATTCAATTTTTTTTATTTATATGTGTATGTACGACACCTAGTCAAATTCCTCATACGTGTGAAAAACCTGTTTCTGATTCTGATCTTTTTGTCCTCTAGGTTGCACTGCCACGTCTACAGTAGCGCAGAATGGACAGAGGAAACATGATTGGGCCTCAAGGTTTTTGCAGCCAATATACATTCTACAAACTTGGGATAGGAGGGTGAGTGAACAAGTTATCCATTGGTTGGAACCTACATCCCCATTGTTAGACGTACTAAATCCTGCACACTGCTCCTTCAAATTGACAATGTGAACATATGTTGCCATTTTGTAATTTCTGTTATTTTCAGTTGAGAATGTTTCAAAGTACTCTTAAAAAAATTCAACTTACTTTTTGTTTCTACTGTTTATAAGTATGATGTTTAAATATGAAATGCTGTATTCATTAGTTGTACTATAATTCTACAAATATTTTTATATTTTAAGTTTTCAGAGTAATTGTTTCCTACAGAACATTTTGTGATTTTATTGAACCTGTTTGATTGGAAAATGTTAGAAAAAAGCTGTAAAATAACAGTATTCTACCTGTAGAACTTTAGGTTCTGTATTTATTTTAGTGTTTGATCATACAAATCTAATAAAAAAAAAATGTAAAAAAATGTTTTTCTCATCAGAACTTTATTTAAGGTATTTGAATGTAACATTTTAAGACAATGGATTTTGAAAAGAGAGGAAAGTTTCCTGTAAAATCGTTAAGGACAATTTCTGTATATTAATTGCTTTTGCACTTTATTTGAGTTAAAGTATTTTTACTTTGATTTTATGGTTTTTGTTTGGCAGCCGCTGCTGCCAGTCATTTGACCGTTTTTTTACGGGTTTTTTGCCCGTAGAAGTTTTAGTGCTGTACTTTTATTAAAGGTTATTGACTGTAAAAAGAGAGGATAAATCTGTAAAATTAGAGTATTTGTACGTTAAAGTATTAGTAATGTACTTTTATTAAAGGTTATTGACTGTAAAAAGAGAGGATAAATCTGTAAAATTAGAGTATTTGTACGTTAAAGTATTAGTAATGTACTTTTATTAAAGGTTATTGACTGTAAAAAGAGAGGATAAATCTGTAAAATTAAGAGTATTTGCACGTTAAAGTATTAGTAATGTACTTTTATTAAAGGTTATTGACTGTAAAAAGAGGATAAATCTGTAAAATTAGAGTATTTTCCTGTAAAATCTTTAAGGACAATTCCCGTAAATTAATGGCTTATTCACTTTATTTCAGTTAAAGTATTTTACTTTAATTTAAGGGTTTTTGTTTGGCAGCCGCTGCTGCCAGTACTTTGACCGTTTTTTTACGAGTTTTTTTTTTACAGTGTAGGGTTAGAGGATAACACTAAGCATTCAGGAATACATGCTTCTTCTAGGATAATGGGTCAGTAAAAATAACCAATAATTCTACTCATAACCTCCTGCCTCATTTACCACAAGTGAGGTTACTAATCACTAGTATTTCTTCTCTCTTTTTTAGATAACGCTTCGTGATTCATCACCAGCACAACCAGTGCTCCTGTGTTGCAGGAACTGTTTTGTGCAATCACACAGTAGCATTGCTGTTCCAAACGGCACACTACACTGAACTGAACATGCCAGTTGTGCCGCCTGTGCATAGCTGTACTGAATCGGAACAGCAATGGCACAAGCCGCGAACAATGGTAATTTCAATAAGGTTCAAATACTTCTTTCACAGAGTTTTTGTTTTAAAGTGACTCAACTAACAGTAATTGTCTTTTCCTTAAGGGTGTGAAGCCAGGGCCCATCAACTCCATGGTCTTCAACAAGCCTCTACCAAATAGGATGGTGCAGACTGGAGTAAGGTAATTTTAGCTGAAAAATTGTGTTTCCTGTGTTTTTTAAAATTCATAATGCTATTCTGGTGCTGTATTCCTTACCTTTATTGTCACATTAATGTGCTATATTGTCTTTGCCATTCTTTGTAGGAGTGGATTCTACAGAGGCATGGTGGGGCCATTACCAGATCCCTGCCTGTTCAGAGTTACGGAGGCATACTCAGCATTCAGCATTGAAGACAGACTGCTTGTGACCACAATGAACATGAGACCCTTGTGGAAAGTGCCTTCGGGATGGTGCAGGAGGGCAGTGTTCTGTCCTATCAGATGCCTGCTTTGACGTCTCGGTACACCACACTTCACACTGACACACCACCAACACCCCACTTGCCCACATGTTTTTGATATATATTGTTTGTCACATTTCATATATGTAAATAAATATACAATTGTATTTAAAAAGACAATAAAGTGAAGTGATTTTTTGTAATTAATAGTAAATCATTGCATTTGTAAGAAATCATCAACACATTGTAATTTGCAATTTACCATTTATTCAAACAAAACACTAGCGTGTGTTAGGCAACACGGGATTACGGTGTGCTCACCCAGCTTAATCACAGCTACCTGCACAGGTGTCATCATCTTGTCTTATTTCACCCATTTCTTGACCAGTGCTTTGTTCTGATAGTTTGACAGCATACATGCTACTGCAAACAGTTGGTTGATGTTGTAGGCATGGGACAGGAGGATGACACCATCAAAAAGCTTGTTCTCTTTTATCCTCCTAATGACACGCTCCACATGAACCCTCAGTCTGGCAATGGCCTGTGTCTCCCTCACCTGATAGGCTGGCATTTGCTTCTGCTGGTGGGCAGTACACCTTGCATTTGCAGCAATCGCTGATCAGGAAGCCCTTATCTACCATCACTGCCATGTTTTCAGTCAACAACGCAGCTATTCCAGATTGTTTGAAAATCTCCTTGTCGCTGACAGAACCACCATACAGACTGGAAACAAATGTCACTGCGCCATGTGGGGCTATGCCAACCAGGGCTTTCATGGTGCAGTGAGATTTGTATGTAGAATACATTTCACTTTGGAGGAGGAGTGAGGATGGTGTTTGACACCTCAGCTCTGTGCAATCCAGGATCACCTGTGTGTCTGGGAAATCTTTGAATGCCTCTGGGAGGTGGGCTTGAACTTCTGCAGGTGTAAGCCAGATGCACTGTGACCCCAATAAAGTTGTAAGAAAACTTGTCCATGTTGCAATGATGCGGCTCACAGTGGACTGGTGTACGTTGAAGCGGTTTGCAAGGTCCCTCTCTTTCAAACCCACCGACAGGAAGCATAGAAAAAGAAAGAACTCGTCAATTGGCTGAAGCAGCTGTCTCTGGAAGATAAAAACTAAAAAAGGTTACTATATTAATGTGAGTGTAGCACACTGGGAAAACATGAAGTTGTTTTAGTTCTCTGATGTATTAAAAAAGGATTGAGTACTTTAGCCTTTTAGCCTACACAAAAGCAATGAAATGTCGGAGAAACATTTTCCCTTCAGTTTGTGTTTAGATTGTGTGTTAAAAGAAACGTAGCCTACCGTTGATGGACGTGCGTGTGTAACCACTTCTTCATTCCTCTTGGCAGCTGATATCGCTCTTGTAACACGAACCATTTTATGAATTGAAGGCTCAATCAAAGACCAGAAGGCCATCAGGTGGTTATAGCTCGGGAATCTGTTCACAAAAGACACATGTCAGTCATTAATTAACAGTAAATACAATCGTGTTAACTGTAACACATGGGCTAATGTTTTCCTCTTGTTTGCTATAATACATTACAATTCAAACTGATTAAGAAGGCACTTGGTGCAGGTATAGTAATCTACAGCAGTAAAATGTAACAACTACATTAAAGCAGCAGTAATAATAATCTAAAACATACAGGGAACATTTTACACACAATGACTACTTTTATTCTTCATTCTTAAGTGTGCAACCGGGGGAAACGCAGTGGATATTGACATACTTTTACTTTGGTAAGGTTTTGAAGATTTCCACTTGTAGTAAAGTATTATCAGTATGTTGTTAGTATTAGTATGTTTTACTCCACCACATTTAGTTAACCTTCATAGTTTCTAGTTACTTTTTATATATGAAAACACATGATTTATGATTCTACATGTTCAGTTCAGGAGTATTTTAAAACCATAGTATTTGTACTTATACTTCAGTTAAGTTGACAAAAAACACACTGGATGCTGCACTAGGTCAGAAACCAGAGGAGACTGAACTCCACCACAGACGGACCACTTTTGGTCAAAATGTCCTCTCCGTTAACACAGGGGTATCTCCTCTTGCACTTTATCTAGCACTTTTATCTTTTCTTGCACTTTATATGTCGTAGCTGCTATATTGTACTGCCATGTGGTAAATACTTGTGTATGCTGCTCTTGCTCTTTTGCACTTTTTGCATATCATGTATTTTGTTTTTACCATGTTTGTAAAATGTAATTTTCTTAAATGTTTAATGTGAGGGACTGCGGATGGAAATTAGCTCAAAGCTAAATCTGGCACTGTTACGCTTGATACATTTTAATGTTGTAAGTGTTCATTACTGTGCATTGTCCCTACCAAATAAACGATTAAATAAATAAAATATCCCAACACTGCATGCATATAGTCAGCGGTCACACGGCAGGTAAACAGGATTCTTTATAAGCTAACCCATCTCAAAAACTTGGATAGAATTGAGACAAAACATTACCTGGTATAGAATCGGATGTTGTCGTCGGAGCCAGCAAACCGCTGTAAGCAAAACTCTCGCTAGACTCTTAACTCCTGCAGTTGCTTCTGCAGATCCTCCACTGTTTTGGAGTTGTCTTCTGTAGCTTGAGAGGACATGTCCAGTGAAGCTGGTTCAGGGGTTGAGCAGTAATCATGGTCACGGACATCGATGTGCTCTTCCTGCTCCTCCCGAGAGACTGGTTCAGTGGGCCGCTCCCTTCTCTCCCAAACACTAGCCCGCTGTGTTTGAGCAGTAAAGTGATTCCACTCAAACAGAGTTGGTACAGCACCTTTCACAAGCCTCCTACGGCCATCAAGGGTTTTTGGCTCTATTAGTTGATCCGTAGCGAAGTGACGACTGCAGACCTTGGAGTGAGAGGATATTGTAAAGTCATCGCGCCGTATTTTTACTAGCCACTGTCTTCGCAGCTCGAGTTCGGTCGGAAAGCCATGGAAACTTAGGACGCCGTTGAATTTAGCTGACGCCGTACAAAGTGGGACACAGCAGTGCTCGGAGTAGTTATTCACTTGTCTTTGCAAATGTTCCGTTTTGAAAATCTTCCGTCGACTCATATTTAAACCATAGATTTAAACAGTAAAACCTTTGTGGACGATCTCCCGCTCAGCTACGCAGGCCGGAAGTAAACCGGAAGCAGCCGAGCAGTATTACGGCTAAGGCGGAAGTACGTCTCAGACCCTAGTGCATGTAGCCTATTAGATTATTTTCTCAAAATTCAAACTTCTTTCTCAGAATTCAAACTTTTTAGCAGATTTGGACTTTTTTCTCAAAATTTTAACAATTTCAAATGTTTTCACAGAATTTGACTTTTTTTCATAATTTTCACTTTTCCTCCTAAATAGATAATTTTCTCATATTTTGACTTTTTTCTCAAAATATCACTTTTTCTCATAATTAGACTTTTGTTCAGAATTATATTTTTTTCTCAGAATTACAACAATTTCATATTTTCTCCGGAATTCTAACTTTTTCACAGAATTTGACTTTTTTTCATCATTTTCACTTTTCCTCCGAAATAGATAATTTTCTCATATTTTGACTTTTTTCTCAAAATATCACTTTTTCTCATAATTAGACTTTTGTTCAGAATTATATTTTTTTCTCAGAATTACAACAATTTCATATTTTTACCGGAATTCTAACTTTTTCACAGAATTTGACTTTTTTTCATAAGTTTCACTTTTCCTCCTAATTAGATTATTTTCTCAGAATTCAAACTTTTTTCTCAGAATTCTAACTTTTTTCTCAGAATTCTAACTTTTTAACAGATTTGGACTTTTTTCACAAAATGTCAACAATTTGGACTTTTTTCTCAAAATATCACTTTTTCTCATAAATTAGACTTTTTTTCAGGATTAGATTTTTTTTTCTTTTTTTTTTTTCAAGCTTTGTATATCTTTCTCAAAATTCGAATTTACCAAAAAAAAAAAAATCTTAATGTTACTCACCTGTCCAGGCTACCTGTAGTCCAAAGGTTTTTTTTTCAAATAAAAACGGACCTTTTTGAAACATATTTTGCTGTTTTTGGGTCTGTAGAAAGACATTTGCACTTTTATTTCTTGGGCTCTTCTTACTGCAATTCAAGCCTCAGTTCTGTCTACAATTCTTTGTTTTGGGTGAACTGTTCCTTTGACTTATATCCAATATATGCGTATATAAATGAAGATGAATGCTTGGTAACCTGTGGTACTGCATGATGGAGTTGTAGTCGTATGGTGTGTTCAGGTTCAGCGTGTTTATCTTGTTGAAGGCGTACGCCCAACCTGAGAGGACGAGAATCACAGCGAGGGTCAGAAAACACAGAAAATGAACTTCACCCCATTCCTCAGATCATTGTGAAGTTAGTTGTGTATTAGATGAGTGTAAAACATGAAAGGGTTGATCAATACAGGATTTAAAGTGACATTATTTGGCTGTGATTTCAATGTATTCCCATGGAGTTGCATCCATTATGAATGCAACTAACAGTAAGTCAATTTAGCATGATTTACTTTTCATCAGTGTTCAAATTAGATTGGATTTGTTCTGAGCAGAATGATATAAATGCAGAGTTTTCACTTTCTGTTTTGCTGAATGGGAAACAGAATCTCTTAGATCACCAAAAAGCTGACCTTAACACCAGTGCCTAGATCTACAAAATGTCACCCAAAGACACAAGTATAAACCAAGGAGAGACTCAAGGGGCGGACAAAAAGACAACAATCAGATGCAAAAGAGCTGCGAGAACACCAAAGAAACTACAAAGACATGAAAAACAGCTGCAAAACGACACGAAGAAACTATGAAAAGTGTGAAAATAACAACAGATACATAAAGAAACTCCAAAGAGAGTCAAAATGACTATGTGATATGTTTTCAAAGACTCAACATGACTACTAAGGCACTCAGAATGACCACAATGGTACACATAATGACCACAATAAGACAAGACATGTCCACAAAGTGGCACAAAGAGATACTTAATCACCACAAAGAGACACTATATGACTGCAGAGAGACAGTCAATTACCAAAAGAGACACTTAAGGCCTACAAAAGACTCAAAACGACTCTGAGGAGTTTAATAAGGACTTAAAAGTTACACAAAATAATCAAAACACACAAAAAGACTACAAAGAGACACAACATGACCACAGAGAGACTCAAGTGAGTAAAAAGTTACATAAAATGTCTATAAAAAGCCCAAACATGACTACAAACCCTTACGCAAAGAAAATATATTTCCCCATATATTAACTGTCAATATATTGCATTATTTTGTTTTCTGATTTACTGGTTAATTGAAAAGATTTAATAAAGGAAATCTTGCTGTTGGCTACACCAACTGATACTGATTAATAATCAACATGAAAAACATATTTATTCATATCTACAAAATATATTGAAAATATATTGAAGATATATAGAATAATATATTGTGTTAATATATTACAATATATATATATATTGAATAATATATTGTGATAATATATTGTAATATATGTGATAATACATCAGTAATTGCCGCTTTCCATATATTGAGTAATATATGTAAATATATATAATATATTGGTTGTGTATATATGTGAACATACATTTACTATATATTAACATTTATATGGGGACATGTACTATATATATTCACAAATATATGGGGACATGTATGCGCTATATATTCAGATTTATATGGGGACATGTATGTAGAATATATTCACAATTATATGGGGACATGTACTATATATATTCACAAATATATGGGGACATGTATGCGCTATATATTCAGATTTATATGGGGACATGTATGTAGAATATATTCACAATTATATGGGGACATGTACTATATATATTCACAAATATATGGGGACATGTATGCGCTATATATTCAGATTTATATGGGGACATGTATGTAGAATATATTCACAATTATATGGGGACATGTACTATATATATTCACAATTATATGGGGACATGTATGCGCTATATATTCACAATTATATGGGGACATGTATGCACTATATATATTCAGATTTATAAAAGACCATGTACGTACCATATATTCTGAACATGAGTGCAATATATGTTCACAATGAGGAGAAATGCATGTTCTGATAAAAAAAATCTTTCATTTCATTTCAAACCTTTATTTATGCAGGTGAATCCCATTGAGATCATTGATCTCTTTTTCAAGGGTGACCTGCTACAAGTAGGTTCCACATGAATACATATAAACATAACAGAAAAACAAAAAAGGACATAATACAGCATATTTACAGTGACTACAGTTTACATAGCTAGTAACATTTACAGGTTCCAACAGTTTCCGATTGGATAGCATCTATCCTTGCTTTAAAAACATTTAGTGGAACCAAATTGCTCAGCTTCCATTCCTTTTGCAGACTGTTCCAAGTTAGCGGAGCTGCGCATCTAAAAGCTATTTTCCCTAAGACAGTCCAAGCAGTTGGCACATTTAATAAAACCACAGCATTCGATCTCAGGCAGTAGCCACTTACAATTCGCCGTGAGATCAGGGAGCAGATGTAGGATGGAAGTTTCCCTAACATGGCTTTGTATATAAAAATGTACCAGTGACTGAGCTTCCGTACAGTTATTGAAGGCAAACCTGCCCTTGCATACAGGGTACAGTGATGGGTTAATGCTTTACAGTTTGACACAAATCTCAGTGCACTGTGATAGGCGGCATCTAACTTGATCAGGTAATGGGCAGGTGCATTCATATAGATCAGATCACCATAATCCAGTACAGGTAAAAAGGTCACAGTGACTAGCCTTTTTCTGGCCTCAAGTGAGAAACAGGACTTGTTCCTGGAAAAGAAACCTAGCCTAACCCTCAGTTTTTTAAGCAGGTTATTGACATGAAGTTTAAAAGTGAGACAATCCTCAAGCCAGATACCAAGGTATTTGTAACAGGTAACCACTTCAAGTTTTATCCCTTGCGTAGTTACAATATCTAAAACAGGCTCTGGTGTCTTTTTAGTTTTTGAAAAGAGCATTAACTTGGTTTTATCAACATTTAAAAGAAGCTTAAGCGCTGAGAGCTGAGTCTGAATAATGAGAAGCTTAATTTGTTTTTTTCTATCAATGTGTAACAGTTATCAAAATACTCATTAAAAGAAGGACAAGGAAAGAATAAAAGAAAAGGCCTATAAACAACACATTATGTAATGACTCAAGAACATTTTCATGTAATTATGTAATAAAACCCACATTTTGTAATAATCTGCTGCATTCTGTAACAGCCTGAACGCAATATAAAATACATTTCCCTGCATTTTGTAATAAATTATTACATTTTGCAATGGTTATTACAAAATGCGTGAGTTGCCCTTTTAAAAAACTGTAATATTCATTATGTAACCATAACCAAACTGTAAATATATCCCAAAATTGATGTTGATATACATGTTGGCTAATGAATATGGTAACACTTGATCTAGTTTTGGCCAATGAAAGATATTCTACTGAAATATTTTTAAATTATGATTAAGGACGATTCATGGTTGAATAAATAAATAAACAG